AGAAAGGGGAATATAAAGAAAGAGAGAGAGAAAATGGAAGCTCCACCTTCTTTTCATTCTGGCTCTGCACAATACTTGTTCTGCCCCCGCTTTCCATAGATTATTCCTGTGGAAATGCAGGAAAGGGAAGGGAAGGGAAGGGAAGGGAATCTTTTTTTCTCCCATATGAATCTGAGGTCTAGAACAGTCCTTTTGTCAAGTGCCCCTGCCTTGAAACATTAGATGACTCATGACTATGAAAAAGACCAGGGGTGACTGCAGGATATGGTGAAAAAACATCAAGATGGCAGCCATGACAGTGCAATTGAAGCTCCACATATAACAATAGAAGGAGTTTTGATTACACATCGCAGATGCCATTTTGACTATTTTTCACCATATCTCGTGGATCCCTCTGACTTTCTCAGAAGGATCTCCCTAACGGTGGAGTGCTTTCCCCGCATAGGAGACAGAACCTTCTACATTAGTTTGATTCAGCCACCAAGTTATTTATCAGAATTTTATTTATTAGCCACACTGAGCATTATTTTTGGTGGACAAGGAGATATAAATTTTAAAAAGATAATTCATTGAACCGTTTGATTCACAACTGATGAAGTGAGTTGCAGCTCACAAAACTTTATGCTTTTCAATAAAATTTGTTAGTTGAAAAAGGTACTACCATACTCCTGATTTTTTTCCCACTATAGACTAACACGGATCTCCTCCTACAATTATTTTGATATGTTTGTTCTATCCATATTATAATTATAAGCACCTGTAGGAAAAACTGTGACATATAGATATTTCAAATAAGTAAAGTTACTTTTAACTTTTTTTTTCTTATAGTAATATGTTTTCCAAGCTTCTACTTGGCCCTGATTAAGTTTCACCTTTGAATTCAGTGATTTTGAGCAGAGTCTCAAGGACTGGTCATGATCCAGTCTTCTGTTTCTAGAAAGCTATGAGATCAGCTATAAATTTTGTTCTGATAGGGAACTACCAAATCTGGGCTGCAAAGCTCCATGCAACCACTAGATGGTGGTAAAGAGGTCAACTGTTCTATATCTCTTTGCTGCCATCTAGTGGTCATTTCCTATCATCTGAAATAGAATTGGTTTGGAATTCTTCATATCAAATGCAATGTGATGCTCAGAATAGGTGATAGTAATGTGCAGTGTAGCAACATGGAAGCCAGGGACATTGACTAGCAGGAACTGGTCATAATTTGAACTGCATAGTTTGTTGTGCTGGTGATTAATGCTATGCTTTGCAACTAGGCTTTCCAAGAACAAGATGATGTAAAGAAAAGCCGCAATACAGTGCTGTATTCTCTCATGTTTCTTGTGTTGGGAGTGATCAGTTTAATAACTTATACAATCCAGGTATGTGCTAGCATAAGGCCCACTTAATAAGAAATTGTCACAAAGGAACATCCTCTAAGAAGCAGAGGATTGGGCACAAAGTTACTCAACCAGTGCAACATGAAAAGCCTTACAATTTTAAAAAGATGGACTTTTGACACCATGCTTTCTTTATCTATCAGGTAGAAACACTTCACTGCAATCCCATAAATTGCACATGTGTCTTTCTGACTGATTTGGCTACATCCAGACTTTCTCAACATTCAGCGTGCTTTTCCATGAACTTTTTTATTCAAATTGCATTGTACAGTTCCTCATGATATCACTATCATAATTAGTGATTTTTCCCCCCTTAATCTGTGGTATGGTTCTGTCTTTATTCCCTGAATGTTTGGTTAAGTTCTGCATTGATAAATATCGGAACTGTCACCCCCATCTCTTGGATGTTCCCCCTTCAGATGTTGATGGTCCTTTTCTAGAAGTAGAAAGCTAAAGGTTTTGCCTTTTACACCTTGCAGGGATTCACCTTTGGGAAGTCTGGAGAAGCTCTCACCATGCGGTTGCGCTCTCTTTCCTTCAAAGCGTTGCTGCAGCAGGTAACAGAGCGTGAAAGGGGAAACAAGAGCAGTTTAGGGACGAGGTTGGCTTCAATGCTTGCCTTCAATTACAATGGATCAAACTTTAGAAACATACTTTAGCAAATGTCAACTAATGAATGAAAGCAGAAAATCTCCATTATAAAAGTAAAAGTCCTGCTGACTTTAGGGACGTATCAATGTCGTTTTCTTATCTTAGCAACGATGTAATGCTGATTTGCCATTGACTTTTCAGGGATGTTTTTATAAATCCCCAGCTAGCCTAAGCCCTGGGATTGCCTGGAACATTCTCATCTAAATACTAAACTGGCCCAATTCTGCTTTGATTTTCCAATTCAGCCAAGGCTGGTAAGGAACTGCCCCCTGCAGTCCAAAATAGTGCCTTGTTGCATAAAAAGCTAGTGCTTAAAAAGCTATCTGACCTCCATCTAGCCTAGAATAGTCTACATAGATATAGGAGCGATGCATTTATGCTAAAGCAAGCCCTTCACTTCATCCTTGTAGATTCTGATAATTTCTGAATGGAGTTACACTGCAAAAAGATTGATTCATTAACCTACAGAACATTCACATATCTCTAGAGGCACTAAATTTAACATACCTTCTTTAAGTTTAACAGTGGAAAACAACATTTGAGGGCCCAAGTATTAATTTTATTTTCATGAATAGCTAGGTAGGAAAAAAAACAGAGCTGAATCAAAAGCGGCATTTTTAGATTCTTTTTTTTAAATAGCGGCAACAAATGCTGACTTCCAGAGTCCATCATATTTTGTTTGGGAAGTAATATGGAAGAACAGATTGGTCCTATTATTTCAGTGTTAAACTATTTCAACCTGTTATGCTCTTTCAGCCCATTCTACTTCTTCACTGTTCCTCCATTCTACTGTTTTATTTGGGTGCATCCACAGGGAGGGTGGAGGTGGATAAAATATCAAGTTGGCAACTGTGACCATATGATTGAAGCTCTGCCCCTTTTTAAGTAAAAAGGGGTCAGGGCTTCAACCATGCAATTGCAGTTACCATTGTGACTTTTTTGACCCCCTGTGTGGACACCCCTCATTTTGTTATTTCAGCCTTTTACTAAATTGGTGAATTAAAATCAGCACTGATAGACTATTCAACCAACTGTTCTGTCTACAGCTGCTGCCTTGATCCCACCCAGGACTGATCGCCTGACTTTGATTCCAGTATAGTGGAGGACAAAGTGTAACAGATTTTACATGCTTTGTGACTGCCACTGAGTGTTGTGGACTTCAATGGAAAAGCACTGCTTTTGCAACTAAGGGTGACTTAAGCCTGAATCACTGATGAACTGGGAATGAGATGAAGGCAATGTCAGGGGGTCCTAGCAGAAAAAAATGATGTTGCCAAGGCATGTTTGTACCATGGTTAGGTAGAAGGGAGAAAGGCTCTGAGTTCTAACAAGAGTAGTTGATAATTTCAAATATTACTTCAATTTGTTGGTTTTTGTTTTTAGGAAATTGGCTGGTTTGATGATCACAATAATGGTATTGGAGTTCTGTTAACCAGGCTTTCAACAGATGCTTCTCAAGTTAAAGGAGTAAGTTTTTTCCTTATTGTTTTTGTGTCTTTTATTGGAATTATAATTGCCTTGGTTTCAATAAGAGACTGTTGCAGGTCACAGGAGAATAAATCCATTATTTGAACCCCTTTAGCATTTTGAATATATCAGTGCCAGTGTCTTATTTTACGACTTCAGACAATTATTCTACTTGCATCTTCCAAAACAAGCTTGTTGGGGATGATACATTCCACAGGATTCCAAGATCCTGTGAATCAGTCTGGCACTGAAGATATAACTTTGCCAGCTAACTTACTGGCTTTGCAACGTTGCCAGATGATATATAAGCATAAAGAGATGCTTCTGCATCCACCCCATGGTACTTTTATAAAAATCCCAATGGGCAGTTTCAACTAATAAAGAGAAACTATGTAAATTGTATTTTTCAAGAAAGTTAGCAACATGACTTGGAAACGCAGGGAATAAATGTTAATCATGCCATCTGATGTGAACTTTCCATAAAGTTATGCCTGTTTCAGTATACCTTAGCAAGACATAGATATGTTGTGTTATTATAGAGAAAGAGAGCCTGTGAGCCTTCAGATGTGCTAAACTAACATTGATCATGTTAGTTGGTGATGCTGGAAGTTGTAATTCAGCCACATTTGGACAGCGTCTCATTCCCCTGTTGTGCATTGAATGTTATAAAAAAAAAATGCTTTATACCAGAAAAGATATAATTTGTTTTTGTTGTTGTTGTTGTTATTGTTTATTTTCAAGGCTACTGGAAGTCGATTGGCCTTATTAACCATGACCACCTTTACACTTGTGACAGCTCTTATTATTGCTTTTGCACACGGTTGGCAATTAACACTGCTCATCCTGGCTTGTATTCCCTTCATCATTGTTGCAAAGGCTATTCAAGCGAAATCGACGGAAGGTCATGCAGCTAAGGATCAAAAATCCCTTGAAGAAGCTGGAAGGGTATCTTATACATATATAAACACATGGATAAGTTTAAGACTATGGTGGTGACAGTAGGCAGGAAATGCCATATGATTTGAACTTTCAATAAAGTTACATCCGTTTCACTATTTTAGCAAGATCTGAGTCTATTTTAACACAGCCCTTAATCTTCATTTTTTCTCAATAGTGCTTCTCCAGGAAAATCTGGTCTGTTGATTGACATGCCACCCTTCCTCAAAATGTATTACAGGCAGTGCAATGTGAAATCACTAATACAAGCTTAGAGATTCTGTACACTGAAACAAGCAGGGGAAAAAGCACAACAAATGGAAAACTCAGATTTCATAAGCAAGCCTGCAAGAACCTGGCCCTCTGGATGTTGCTGCATTACAATTCCCATCATCCTTTTAGTCATGCTGACTAGAGCTACTGGGAGTTGTCCTTCAGAATGACTTGGATGGTCACAGGTTCCCCGGGCCTCCAGTGCAAGATTCATACACATTGCACAAAACTGAAAAATGTTCCCCCACACAGTCAGTCACCCAGTTCAGCTTAGCTTGTTTTGATCAGCAGAGTGGGAGAAGAAGGAAGCATTTTATCTCATGTTTTCTGTTTTTCTTTCTGGAGAGGAAGAAAGAACATCCTGATTTCTTCTCCTCCCTCCCCTCTCCGGGAAGAACATAGGTCAAGGGAGAAGGGATTCCAGGAAGTTAACTAGTTAGTGGAAGATTACTTTGAAAAGGATTGGCAGAGATTTCACTTGCTGGTCTGCATTGCCTTTTGAGAAAAGCCAAACAACAAATGTAATTGATGAACAAAATGATAGGAAAATCTTTGACTTGTTCTTACATTGTCTAAACTATAGTTTATTTAACAATGGTTTAATAAATCACAATTGTCTGGGTTCACACATGATAAATCATGAAACTATAGTGGCCCACATTTATAGTATGCCATCCCACATGTTTTGTACTTAGTTTAGCATCTGTAGGTGGGTAATGCTACACATCACAAAAATCCTCATATATGTGGGTAAATGCCTCATATTTTCCTTTTTGCCAAACCTAGATTTCAACAGAAGTTGTAGAAAATATAAGAACTGTAGTGGCATTAACAAGAGAAGAGAGATTTTTTGAGAACTACAAAGCAAGCTTATATGAACCATACAAGTAAGGACTTGATGTTTTATACCTTCGTGTGTGTGTGTTTGTGTGTGTACACATGTGTTTGGATGCATATTCTTCCTTGTAGGCACTATTTTTAATTGCTTTTTTATTGAACAGTGTTAAAAAGAAAAAGAAACCATCAATAAAAATGAAGGAAACGAAACAAAAAAGAATAAAAACATATACAGTATAGCAATAACGTCTCTCACACACAGACACAAATGTAATTGTGATGCAAACATTTTTAACATCTACATTCAATATTTCTGTCCAGAACATCATGTGAACAGATGAAGTAATCTGTTGGGGAAAGCATTATTAATATAGCTAATAAGCGGTGGTCAGATTTTAATGCATGTATCCTTCAGAGTACAGTTTTAAAAAATCTTTGGTCCTCCTTTGTTTACATCAAAGCAATTTCCCAGTCTTTTCAATATAACAGATCCAATTAAACATGCATTTTACTTTTCCGATGTGCTATGACAACCGTACCAGCTGTTCCCAAATTCCATCTAGCCCTGTTATAGTAATCCACACCAAGAGTCCTTGCATGTGAAGATAGGGTGTAGCTATTTGGAGATTGAGCTTTTCAGTAGGAATCCCCTGTCTGCAGAATATCTCTCCTTCTGAAAAGTCCACATAGTTATCTTACTTTTTTTTTTTTTTTTGGTTTGTTTGTATTTTGGATTTGGTGTTGTTTTGCTCTAGGGAAATCCTCAGCTATTCTTGCAAGCATTTAAATTCTTCCTTTTCTGTGGATAATTAGTTCTCTCTCCATAGGGTACTTGGGGGATTTTTAATAGTGCTTGTTTTAATTTCTGCTTCTTTTCATCACAGTACCACTTTACTTATTTATGATTGGATTTTTATTTCCATTCCGATTGTTCATTACTAGAGAGCTTTTTAAGAATTAAATTAATAGTAACTGAGTAGAAGGTTTGAAATGTAGAAGCTTTGCCTCCTTTTCCTTTTATTCTATGATTGCTTGTGAATTATCTCAATTATTCTCTTTTATTAGGGACACCCTGAAGAATGCTCCTATTAATGGGTTTTCCTATGCCATAGGCCAGTGTTTCAACTTTTTTATAAATGCAGCTGTCTTCAGATTCGGAGCGTGGCTTATTGCCCACTGTTTTATGAACTATGAACAACTGTTTATGTGAGTGTATTTGCTTTTGGCTTTTATGGATGGCAATGAATTGAAAATATGAACTGTTATCAATTTTCATATGTAGGTATGTGCATATATGTGTGCTTTTAAAGCAAATGCAGTCATGTTGATAGCGAAGGAGAAGTCCACATGAGTAACATCTTAGCCAGGTCATACGCTGCTTATAGAAAGGCTTACACATTTAGCGTGTATAGGTGCCATTAGCCAGGCTGCCTTTGGATGTTTTCTTCACAACCTAAAAAAAACACACACACACAATTTAAAAACGTAAACTAAAAAGCTTGAAATCTCAATCCTTTTTGGTATTCTCACATAAAATTTGTCAAGATTCCATGCAAAAACTTGGAAATTCTGCAAAATAAGAGGCGGGATCTTTGAGGTGATATTGTCAAATCTCATGAGTTTTTAACATATTCCCCAAAGATTTGGAGAATTTTCACTATTGTGGTTGTATTATTTGTTTGTTTATTGACCTTTGTGCCATTATGTGAGATTACAGAATGATGGCACCAGCTGAAAAGTTCTTGGTGTCATATACAAGGAATCAGTCTCATTCTCTCCCTCTCTCTCCCTCTCTGTCCGTCTCCCTCCGTCTCCCTCCGTCTCCCTCCCTCCCTCCCTCCCTCCCTCTCTCTCTCTCTCTCTCTAATTTATTGGCTACCCATCACACATGAATGACTCTGGGAGGCTTACAATACCAAAAAACACAGAATAAAACAACCATACAAATAATACAAAACATTAAAACAGTTAAAACCATGCAATGCAGTTACCTGGAGAGCACAGTCATTCAAGAACAGTACAGCCATTTTATGGGCTCCACACCTTTTCTGATCCCCAGGCCAGATGGCAAAGCCAGGTCTTCAGGCCCTTCTGGAAGGCCATCCAGATTGGGGTCAGCCTGACCTTGGGGGGAATGAAGTTCCATAGGGTGCATGCAGCAGCAGCAAAGGCCCTCCTCCTGGGTCCCTTCAGATGACACTCTCTAGTGGATGGAACCCGCAATGAGCTGTTTCTGCCAGACCTGATGGGAAGGATAGATGTCACTGGGGAGAAGTGGTCCCTCAAATAACCTGGCCCTGATTCCATATAAGACAAAGCTGATAGTTCCTACTAATAATGATAATATAATAAGTCATTGGGAATCTCCAGTTCAAAAGTAGTACTCCTCTGGATACCCCTTGCTGTGAAGCAACAATGGGGAAGGATTGTTCCTTTCATGTCCTGTTTAAGTTATAGTAAGAACTGGGGCATAATGTCAGTATCTGCCACTAACTCAACAGCTTCTATTCATACTTATCAAGACTTGTGGAACTTTTGGCATACAGTATTTAAGGTCAACTGTCACTGAGAAGGGAAAGATGGACACTTTTTCTCAAGTTGTCTATTATAACCTTTAATCTTGACAAGAGATAATGTTGAATTCCAACCTCTAATCTTTGCAACAGAGTATCATAGTTTCATATTTTCTTGTTCTGTTTGATGGATAATTCGTTTGACTGAGGGGATAATCTTTGGTTTAGTTGCTGAAGTAAACTGTCACAAGGCAATTCTATGCATATCTGTCTAAGACTAAGATGGACTGAGTTCACTGGGACTTCTCCAGGAAAGTACATATAGGATGACAGCTACAAATACAAGCTCTTGACTTAGTCTTCTTGGATAGCATGAAATCCTTTTGCTTCAATTTTTCATGTTAGGTTGCACTGCATGCAGTACTTTTTGTCTAGTTTTATTGCACGTAGCGTATATGGCCAAATATACAGACATTTGGCAAAATGTTTTACTTGATCTTATTTAATGTCTAGTATGCCCTGTAGAGATACAAAACTCAGAGTAATGGGTTCTGTTCAAAAAGGCTTACAGTGTAGAACTCTAGTTGCAAAATCAGTGCCATTTACAGCTGGCTTCAACAAAGTTGTTACTTAAAAGTATATATTTATATTTTTTTCTGATACAGCTCTAGTATTTTTGTTTTTTATTTCCAGAGTCTTCTCATCAGTGATTTTTGCTGCAATGAATGCTGGCCAAGCTAATTCTCTTGCACCTGATTTTAGCAAATCAAAGGTTTCTGCCCAAAGAATATTTCAGCTTTTGGATCGAAAGCCTCTAATTGACAGCTATAATGAAGAAGGGGAAAAATTAGTAAGATCTTACAGCTCATGCTGTTTTTAATATATTAAATTGGCATGATTTTTGTAGTGCAATGGAAATTGGCAATAGTATTGCTTTGGTTTCTGCAAATTTGATCTGAAAATTTATTAGGTAATGTGTATAATTAGCTATCTAATAAATGAATAAACCAATAAATTCAATACTGCACAATAAACATCATTTTACAATCCTGGGACTTACTTCCAAGTAATGTTATTTCTATAAGAGTTTTCCCCCAGTCCCTTTGTTTCAGTGGGAAATTTAAACTCATTCTTAAATTGAACTTCACTTTCATCAGATTATCCCCTTATATTTTAATGTGTTTTAAATGTTTGCTGCATTGTATTTTGTAAACAATAAAAGGAATAACAGGGGAACTAACCATTCCTCATATACAGAAATGACCAAGAAAATATATATTGCCTAAGAAGAATAGCCATTTAAAAAATGGAGAACATCCTGTAATTCACTTTTTTCTTTATTTCAGTTAATTTAAAATAACATCAGACTGCTTATGTAAAAAAAAAAAAATCAAATAGTAGAATTTTCTTTGGACATATTATTGTAGTTTATCAGATCTGGAGAGTAAGAGTTAAAAAAAACTATCCCACGGAGAATCAATGTCTTTCTCTATATAGGATGGAAGTACTTTATTGTTGTTACTACAACCATTCCACTACTGCTACTACTACTACTACTATTAGTACTACATGAGGAGCACAGGAAAAGAAAAAGACAGAAAATTGTGCAAAATCACAGCATTTTTGTGTTTGTTCTCATCGTTTCCTCACCTCTCCCCACTGTAGGAGAAATTTGAAGGCAACATTGAATTCAAAGACATCCATTTTGCATATCCAACCAGACCAGAAGTTCAGGTTTTGCAAGGGCTCAATGTAAAGATTAAGAAGGGCCAGACTCTGGCTCTGGTGGGTAGCAGCGGCTGTGGCAAGAGCACTTCGATTCAGCTTCTAGAGCGATTCTATGACCCCCTTTCAGGACAAGTGGTAAGTGGGCCTTGGTTCGGCTGAAAACATCTCTTTGGCACATGATGACATATCTGAGCTGTAATATCTAGGGCTACTTCTCTGTCAGGATCATTAGTTATGAGCCATTACCTTTACCAAATAAGTAGTGATTTAATGTGCAGCAGTAGGGGTAGTTTTATCATAGCCAGGATGAGAATAACTCCTCATGGATGACAGCACATATAAGAGATTTTGCCTCAAAAAATGAAGAAGAAAGATGTTGTATACAGAGGGGACAAAGCTGTGAGGATGTAGAAAAGCAGTCCAGACACAGGTGTAGGCAGAATAACTGGGAAAATGTTAAAATATGGATGAGGTTTGCTTATGGAGTAGATCTGCTGCTTCCTTAACTGCATCTGTGCCCAACAACTGGAAGAATAATGTTATTGTTTCTTTATATAATGGCAAAATATACCATTAGTGAATGAAAAAACTACAGGAGGATTAGTTTGTTAAATGTGCCTGGGAAGATGTTTGACAGGTACAGGAGATGAGGAGGAGCAAAATTTGGGGTGTACAGCGTGGCTTTACTGCAAACAGAAGATGTGCCTATAGGTTTCCACATGGCCTGAGAGTCTAAATAATTTGCAGCAACTTTAGATAGATTGTATGATATGCCAAGGAATACAGATCTGAAAAGTAATATATTGAAGACTAAGATAATGGTCCCCTTCATGGATCACTGCCTTGTCGTGGCGAAGGGGCTTGCGTAACTCAGTGAAGCCATGAGCTAT